TTAATGTGCATCCGTACTCATATAAGGGCTATATTGCGGAGTGGTGACCCCTGTTCTGAGGTATAGCTTATACTTTGCATTTGTAAAGTCCCAAATTCAGGCCTTAGCGACTGCTGGGGAGGTGGGGAGTCATGATGAAAGGTGATGTGCCGATGCCACAACATCACTTCCTGCGCAAACCCAGAAATGATAGCTTTGCAATGGCATAACACGCCAAGATCCAGTCCAAAGGCTACGGTTTTAGTAGAGTTTTGGGTGTATCCTAGAGCATCACACCGACATGGTGTCAGCAGCTCCAGGTTTGTGCCAGAGGTGATACCGCAGCATTGGTGCACAGCTGACTTCTCCCCTCATTTTGCTCCTTCTACTGAACCAAGCAGCAGTGGGAGCAACGGGGCCTGGGGGCCGGATGTCTCCCCTTATAGATCTGGCAAGCCTGGTGTCTACTTGTATAACTGTTGCTATTCAGAATAGACAGCGCAGGAAAAAATGGACCATTGGCTTGGATCTAATAGAGGGTTACCTTGTTTGCTTTCTGCCAAACCCCCCCCCCCCTTGCAACTTCTGACTCCTTTTCCCAAGGTGTTCCTGGGAGCCCTGTGTTCCACCCATCACTCACCCAGCACAATACTATGGTGGGCATTTGTGGCAGGAGTGGGAGGGGGGAAGGTGCTAAGGGTGTACTCCAGGGATGGAAAACCCTTCCATCTGGGAATATCCTCCATGTAGATCTATCAGTCTCAATCCAAAGAAGGTATTGTCTTTTTCTGTCAAGAATGTGTTTTGAAAGACATCAAACCAAGACTTTTTAGCGGGATGTATCGCTGTGAGGATTATTTTTTTTACAGATATATACTTTTGGTTATGTGTTATTCAGATTATATGTTAAATAGCGTATCACTGTGAGACTTTGCCTACCTCAGCTCTGTGTCTGGCCTGCCAGACTTTTTAGCGAGATGTATCGCTGTGAGGATTTTTTTTTTTACAGATATATACTTTTGGTTATGTGTTATTCAGATTATATGTTAAATAGCGTATCACTGTGAGACTTTGCCTACCTCAGCTCTGCATCAGTACCAAGTGAATGTCTCCCTTTCCTATCCTCTTTTCCCTCCTTTATCTCCAATGCCACATCATGCAGCCAGTTCAGTTAACCGGGTGACCCTCAGCAACAGAGACCTAACAGAAGGCATTACTGATGCTTCCTAAACAGTTCATCCATCGTTTAAAATAGTGTCAAAACTGTCCAGCATAGTCATGACAAATTGGAATGTCATTGGTTGCACCAGTATCCAAGGTCTGATTTCTTTTTAAAACATTCCAAACAAAACACCTGGGCTTTTGCGTACCACTGGTGTGAGGTCAAAAGCCTTCTCTCCCAGCTGAGGAGTCTGAGCCTTGAGAAAGTGGTCATTCAGTTTTGGGTTGCACCCCCCCCCCCCCCCCCCCGCCCTCCTCTCAACCACCAACCATGGCTCTAAAACATGACTTAAGTGTATAGTGCCTAAAGTAAATAATCAATAGACACCAGCAAACGGACATTACATAAAGGTAAGGCATATTAAAAGCTTTACAGAGAGCAACCCTCCCTTCATAAAGCCGAGATGCAATGACATCAGTTTTCTCTCTGAGAGCGTGGAAGCCTCATAGCTCTATCTGCGTTTCTGGCCTGCCAGGAACAGTGAGTTGTTTCTCAGGGGCATCAAACTTTAAAGCTGCCACAAAGATTGACCAGCCTTTTCCAGAAAGCTTCCTCCCTAACACACTGATTAAAGTCTGCCGATGGGAGGTCGGCCCGCAGGCTGCAAGCATTGCCTGCATAGCATGTCTTTAAAAGTCCCTTCCGACAGATATTATTTTGCAGTTTTGGGCAGCTCTGAACTTTTGAAGTGCTGTGTGGGTGTGGATGTCAGACAGACCCACACATTCTCTTTCCGTGCTTGTGGGCAGAGTTCTCAGAGGGGAATCCCACATGTCCCTGGCAGCCGACACTCAGAGGAGTGCCTGAGAACAAGGAAGCTTATCTGCCGTTCCTAATCCTCGAAAAGAACGTTCCTATCCCACTGTTGGAAGGTCATTGTCCTGTTGGGATCCTGTGCTCTTAAACCCCCCCCCCCCAGCATCTAAATATGGCTGCTGCTAACTGAGACAGAAAAGTGAGAATGATGGCTTATTCGTTAGATCCAGGAGTCAACAAATGCTTAAATGTCTGGATCCAGAATTGTCCCCCCCACCCACACACAGAGGAGAGCTGTGTGAGAAAGCACTCTAACGACACAGAATCCCCCCACTGCTTCTGCCGTTCATGGGCTGGCTTCAGAGCTTACTCATTAGCTTGTTTGCACTCATTATCATACAATGGAGTTAATCCTGTGATTGTTTCCTTGTCTTTATAGTCAAAGCTACTTCTCACATTGCAATTTAAAGATATATATAGACGATATGGGGGGGGGTGCCAGCTGCAGGTTGGGAAATACTGGGAGGTTTTATGGGTGGAGCCTAGGGTGGGTGGAGTTTGAGGAGGGGAGGGGCCTCTTTTGGAAATAAAGCCATAGAGTTCAACCCCAAAGCGGCCATTTTCTCCAGGGGAACTGATGTCTGTCGTCTGGAGATAGGTTGTAATTCTGGGGGGTCCCCAGGCCACAACTTGAGATTGGCAACTGAGTGTGTGTGGCTCTGCTAGGGATGCTTTAGGAGCATCATAAGTAGGTGCGAAACATCAAAAGTCTAAATACTAGCAGTCAGATGTGTTTAAACTCAAGCAATTTGATTTTAAAAAATAGTGTTTTGTTCCAAGTGTTCATTAGGAGCTGCAGAGCCTTGTCACTCACGGGCAAGAGAAGGCAAAAATATACAGGTCACATTCTTCACAGTGGCTCTGAAAGAAATAAACCTTCTTGCTGAGGATGCTGGAGTTTTTTTCCTTTTGTTTCCATAAAAGGGCAGAAACTTCCTTTCTGGGTTCTTTTTTTTTTAATGTGAAAACTGAAAGATTCAGGGAAGGACTGTCGAGTCTCTCGGAGTATGGCCAGACCTCTACAGAGTTGTCCTTCTGCTGCAGCCAGGACCCTACTGTGTGTGATGTGCAATCTGGAATTCGGAAGGGAAACTTTTCTTTAATCCCCATTTCTGGCAGATGTACTTAGAATGTGATAAGATGAGCTCTGGAGTGGAGTCAGAGAGCAAAAGTTAAGCCACTCCTTCTGATTAGTTGCCACTTAGGAATGCACATTTCCCATCCTATTGCTTTGTTGTTGTTGTTCAGTCGCACAGTCGAGTCCGACTCTTCGCGACCCCAGATCCCGCCAGGCCTTCCAGTCTTCTGCCGTCCTCTGACGTTTGCTCAATTTCATGTTCGTTGCATCTATGACACTGTCTAACCATCTCATCCTTTGCCGTCCCTGTCTTCTTTGACCTTCAATCTTTCCTAGCATCAGGGTCTTCTCCTGTGAGTGCTCCCTTCTCATTTGGTGGCCAAAGTATTTGAGCTTCAGATTCATTATCTGGCCTTCCAGGGAACAGTCAGGGTTGATTACTTTTAGGACTGACTGATTTGAGCCTATTGCTAGGAACACTTTATGGCCTCTTGTTTGACTAGCGCTTTTCTGCCATCCTGTACAATGCTTATATCTTCAGGAGGAGAGCTGTTGAGTTTAAAACATTTACAACTGCTGTGTTTGTATGCTTCTTTTAAAAAACACACACACTTATGTTTCCTGTTCTAAGAATAGCAAGAACAGGCAGTCTTTCAGATTCAGTTATGCTTGCTTACCGTAAATGTGTACCTGTGTACATAAGGCTTTATTATTTAGAGTTTTTGCATGAGAAAGGATTAAACCTTGTTTAAGAGATACCTTGGGCAAACCTGCACTTTATGTTTTATATCTAACATAAAATTCAGCCCCTGGGTTAAAGAGGAGAGCTGGGTAGGCTTAAGGTATGACAATATATTATAAAAAGAATGCATGCAGCATCACGGTATGGTTTAACAATTTAATTTTTCTTAAGAGTGGAATAAGAATTTATTTCAGCTTCTCCTTTAATCCTTTACATTGGAAAGAATATTTAGGAGCCTTATCTATATTATAGATTCTGTGCCAATGTTATGGTGGTTTAGCTGCCATGGATTTCCTCAGAGCATCCTGGGAACTGTAGTTCTTTTTAAAGGTACTGAGAATGTTTGTACTTGCCCCCTTTACAGAATTACAGTTACTAATGTTCTCTGCAGAAAGGAAATGACCATTGAACCAGTTCCAGTCTATAGTGTAGATATGTTCCTATAAATCTCTGTACCCAGAGCCCATTTGGCCTTTCATGTGATATGCGACAATCCACAATTGTGCAGTGAATCGGCGGATACACAAAATACACATTTGTCTGATCAAAAGGAGTGTGTTCTACTTTTAAGTCATTTGGAGATCTTGGGAAATATGTACCACAAAGTCCTGTTGGATACTTTATGTAAAGTAGAAAGATGCTGTTTTTTAAAAAACATGAATCTTAGCCATTGCTGGGCAGCTTGTCAGAAGTTTTGAGAACACTGATAACTAATTAGAAGTAGTTTCAGAGTTGGCCGTGTCGGTCTGCAGCACAACATATTGAGTCCAGTAGCACCTTAGAGACTAATGAGAGTCCTCAAATCTAAGAGGGTTGTTTTTTGGTATGCTCCTGCTTAAAAAACAAAACCTGAACCCTCTGATGGAAGCTAAGCAAGGTTAGCCCTGGCTAGTATTTGGATGGGAGGCCACCAAGGAATACCAGGGTCATAACATGGAGGCAGGCAAGGCCAAACCACCTCTGAATGTCTCTTGCCTTGAAAACCCTACGGGGTTGCCATAAGTAAACTCTGACTTGATGGCGCTTTCCTCCACCACCACCACATGGAGGCATGCGTTGGAAGCAACTTGACGTACAGCGGAGGCTGAGGCTCACTGGAATATAGTTTAAGACTTGGTGATGTATCTAACTTTTGACAATGTGTGTGGGATTTTCCTCCACAGTGCAATAGCTTCCATCCTAAGAGCATGGCTAGACCAGTGCTCTGAAGACTTCCAGGAGCCACCCCATTACCTTTGTTTGCGGAAACTTTTGGATTATCTGACGCGGATCATGCCAGGGTCAGACCCAGAGAGAAGGGCACAGCACCTGTTGGAGCAGTTTCAGAAACAAGAACTAGTGAACGACAGTAAGTATATTTTATTTATTTATTTATTTATCTTTGAATTTATACCCCGCCCTCCCCGAAGGCTCAGGGCGACTCACAAGGGGCACGAATGCCCAATTTAAAACATTAAAACAGTGCAGAATAATATAAAATACAATAAATACAATTCACTAAAATTTACTTTTCGGTGCTCCAAAATTATTTAACTATAAAAGTTCAAGATGGGATTCTAAAATTATTAGCAACAAGCAACAGTAATAACAATAAATATAGCAGCAACAATATACGTCCATACAGCGTTGACCTCTGCCAGGCACGTCTCGCACCCCCAATAGTCCCCGCTCTGAAGATGGTCAATTTGCGGGACTAATGAGGTGGGCGTAGATAGGAATTATGACGATGGTGACATAATGATGATGGCGTAATGATGGTAGCGGCGGCGGCTCCTACTCAAAAGCCTGGTGGAAGAGCTCCATTTTACAGGCCCTGCGGAACTGCACCAAGTCCCGCGTGGCCCGGATCTCTTCTGGGAGCTCATTCCACCAGGTAGGAGCCGCCACCGAGAATGCCCTAGCCTTGGTAACCGCAAATTTGATGTTTCTGGGGCCTGGAATGTCCAGGAGATTTTGAATCCCCGACCGTAGTGCCCTTGGGGGAACATGCGGGGAGAGGCGGTCCCTAAGGTATCTCCAGGTATCCCAGAATGCAAGAACCAGTTCTTGAACTCAAATGCTGCGTATCATTGGACTGCTTCTGTCCATAATGGTTTGGTTTTGATTGGGTTAAATGGCATAATCAGCCACAGTGGATTGTGTACCGAGTCATGCGCTTGGGTGAACCAACCAATTGTCTATTTCTGCTGTTGTTTAGTAGGGTGGAAACCCAAATCTGACTGCCAAGTAACATGCTTAGTGCTTCTCACTGAAAATTATGAATGCTGGCATGTCTAACACTCTGCTGCACTTTGAAGTGGTTAGAATGACTGTAGCCTTAATTGTTATTATTAATGGCTGGCAACTTGCAAGCCTTCAAAGTAAACTCATAGTCCTACCCTAATCTGATCCCCCCCCCCATTCTTAAAATAACCTCTGTGATATGACTTCCCTGTGACCAAACAGGCTTTTTGGGACTGAGGCCTTTATGTCATGAAATTTTGTTCCTTAGCTGCTGTTATGACAAAGGGAAGCGTCTGTGGCTGTTTTTTCCTATCTGAGTGGCTGAGCTGCTGACATACAAGGACAATAGGAAAATGTACGTTTATCGGGTCAAAGAGCCACTGAACTGATTGTGAACAGTAGTGACACTGGAATGCTGTGTGCGTTGACAAGTCTGATATACAGCCCTCCCCCTTCCCAAGACTGAACGTTTCCTTTGGGCATAATTAGCATAGCTGGAAGGCTATTGGAACTGGTGTGAAATGAATCTAACAATATCCCCAGCCAGCTTTTGTGGAAAAACCGTAGGAAATGGACAGGAAGCGATAATGCCAGAGAACAGAAGAATGCAGTACAGAGCAGTGATTTTTCCTGTGTTAAACGTCATCTCCTTGTACATTCCAGAAATGACATTTGACTCAAACTTGGTACCAAATTAATGTCCTTTTTTTTTTTTAAGCCTTGCTGCATTGGACCTAAATGGTTCCTTTCACTTAAAAAATTCTCAGATCCACGAGGATTGCTGATTTCTATCTAACGATGTTCTTTTCTGGAGTTGTTTCTAGCAGACCAAAGAAAGAAAACGTAGATACTGAGTTCTATAATTAGATCTTTGCAGGATGAGTGGTCTTTCATTGGCTGAAGTGGACATTATGTTTCAGTGCAGTATTCAGCACAGTAGAGCTTTCTAGCATTACAGGAAATGTACATATGCACAGACACTTTAATGAAATGTCAGAAAGTATATTTTTATCTGTTCTCACAATAGTCTTATATTATGGTAGCTGGGATCCTTGACGCGCTTGCCCTTGAGGAAGAAATGGAAATTGGTGGATCAGAAGAGTTCTCAGTTTTCCCAGAGGACCTTGTGGCAGAACAGCTAACCTATGTGGATGCCGTAAGTATAGAATACACCTCAAAGGAAGGCAACCAAGATGACTAGGGGGTTGGAGCACCTTTCCTGTGAGGAAAGGCTGGAATGCCTGGGAATTTTCATCCTAGAACAAGAGACAGCTAAGGGGAGACATGATTGATGTTTTAAAAATAACGCATAGGGTGGAGGAAGTAGATAAAGAGAGCTTATCCTCCCTCTCCCATAATATTGGAACTCAGGGACACCCAGTGAAATTGCTGGGAAATAGGTTCAGGACAAACTTATTTAGTCAATGAGTAATTAAATGGCGGAATTCACTGCCAGTGCTGAATACCAGTGCTGGGAGGCAGCAGCTGGGGAGGGGTTTGGCCCCTGTGCCCCTCTGAGCAACTGGCTGGCCACTGTGTGAAACTGTATGCTGAACTAGATGGAGCACTGGTCTGATCCAACAAGCTCTTCTTCTGCTCTCTAGTCTAATGAAATGTGTGCTGCTATTAGTGAGGCACCAGCCTGTACCAGACTTTCTGTGCTGTGGTTACTTGTCTCATGCTGGGCTGAGAACCAGACAAGTTGATCTTCTATTCTTTATGGGCTTTTTCTGTCTGATAGTCTGTATCTCTGATCCCTCAAACATCATAGTAAGTTCTGTGGTCTTTGCCTTTATTTTACTTATGTCTTCGGCCTGCAAGCGGGTGCTTCTGTTTCTCATTAAAATGCAGGTGGAATTGATCCTTGCATGGTGGAGCAGTGGCTCAGTGGGAGGGTATTTGCTTTGTTTGCAGAAGGTCCCCGGTTCAACCCCCATTATCTCCCAATTAAAATGAGCAGGTAGGTGATGTGACAGACCTCGGCCTGAGACCATAGAGAGCCACTGCTAGTCAGAGTAGACCACATTAATTGGTCCGACTCTGCCAGGCAGCTTCATGGGTTCATAGATGTTTATCCGGACTGTGTGGTAGTAGCTCGTTGGATTACTTTATCACTCGTCTAGTATGCCATTCAGTGCGTGGTGAGAGCACACCTCCCTCTACTGCTCGGAATGGAAAGCAAGATGGTGGTGGAGGAAAATGCTGTCAAGTCAGAGCTGACTTATGGCAACCCCATGGGATTTTCAAGGCAAGAGACAAACAGAGGTAGTTTTCCATTGCCTTCCTCTGCGTAGCAACCTTGGACTTCCTTGGTGGTCTCCCATCCAAATACTAATTACGGTCGACCCTGCTGAGCTTCCGAGATCTGATGAGAGTGAGCGAGCCTGGCCCAACCAGGTCAGGGCTGAAATGCAAGATACCTCCTTAAAATTCTCGTTTGGCTGATATTCAGTAGGTTTTTAATTTCTGCCTTCATACCTATTGTATTTTTGTCTCACCCTCCTCCAGAGAGCTCAAGGTGGTATACTTGGTTGTTGCCCCCGCCCTGTAGGAGCAGAGAGTATTTCAACAGCAGCTGATAGCTGACATGCAGTAATAGTTACATTGGACAGACAGCCACATCAATATTTGACAGTATCTGATGGCAGTCGCAGTGAGTGTGGGCAGTATCTGAAAATGACTTAGCACACGATTCGACACATTAATTTAAACCAATCACGTCCATCAATTCTGGTGAGTTCCAGTGCTCAAAGAGACTTTTCCATACACTGGATGCAACAAATGGGATCGAATGAGAGCCAGTGTGGTGTAGTGGTGAAGAGCAGCAGACTCTAATCTGGAGAACTGGATTTGATTTCCCACTCTTCCACATGCAGCCATCTGGGTGGCCTTGGGTCAGTCACAGTTCTCTCAGAACTCTCTCAACCCCACCCACCTCACAAGGAGTCTGTTGTGGGGAGAAGAAGGGAAGGCGATTGTAAGCCACTCTAAGACTCCTTTGGTTAGGGAAGCGCAGGGTATAAAACCAACCGCTCCTCCTCCCTTTTCAACATCAAAATGTTCAAGAAAGCAGCAGCTGTGTTAGAAAATGTGCTCAGTTCAGACACCACATCACGTGACATATCAGTCAGAACCCAAATAATGTTTTTGGCTTCCTAATATATAGGTCTGCAGTGGTTTAGAGTTACTTGTCCACTTTCATTCTATACTCAGCCCTCCCATTTCAGCAATGTAGGAACCTTTAGAAGTTGAGTGATGACTATAACTATGGTTTGTCAGTTCAGACATCAGGCCAAACCGTGGCTTGAAAACCCACTTCACACCATGGTTTCTGTTTCTTATTTGTTGCCATAGTTCATCATTTCAGGTATTATACTAAACCATAGTTATCCTTCCTTAATCGTAGTTTGATATGATGTTTGGATATCTTTTATTGAAGTAAAACTCTTTTTCTGAAAACAATTGTCCCATCAGTTAGATCTGCTAACCTTCTTAGTATTCATAATAAAAAAAAACTTCTTAATATCTTTGAAAACAGGGCAGAAAACCTGCTCAGAACTGCTTCAGAATAGTGGCTGACTGAAATTGTCAGTTTTTAAGATCTGTTTTTAAGTGTATACTCACAACTATAACAAGTGGATCATACCTATGCTGAAGAATTTAACTTTTCTAGTGTTCTTGCATTGTTTAAATACACAGAGACTGAAAATCCACACATCAGATATTACCAGTGTTGTACATGGGCGTATCTGATAGCACACCTTGCTTCCAAAATTGCTTGATTTGGGGTGGAAAGGATAGGTTCCCATTTCCTTCTGTGCAATTGTACTGTTCATTTAACATAGCAGCACTCAATGTATGAGCAAACTCCACTCATGGATGTCCAACTGGGAGCATTAAAAGGTTTATAAAAATCGGGCTGGGTTTTTATGAAAGCACACTGCCAGAAGTCTGATCCGCTAATGCAGGTTGTAAATATTTATCTGATTCCAAACAAAAATTTGGCTGCTCTGCTCTCTACACTAGTGGATGGAACTCAGAATTATTAATGGGATACCAGCTGTTGGGTTGTTGTTCAACTGATACTATCAAGTTTCAGAAAGGAACCAGCTTGCCAAGAGATTCCCCATGCAATAAGTAAACCGCTTACCCAACAATAGTGTAAACGAGAAAAAATGGAGAGAAAAAAGTAGCATGCCAAAGAAAGAGATGGTGTGTGGAGACAGCCACCTTGAACTCAAGCTGTAGTGTTTGGCGTAGCAGTTCCCACTGCTGAGGATTCAAGCTTCTAGTTGGGATTTGTTTCCCTGACAGTTGGAAAAGCCCTGCAGGCAGCAAAACAGAGTTCAGACTCTGTGCATGATTTGTCCATGTGTGCATATATATCACCATTTAGAGTCACAGTGAACATGGCAATGATATTCCGAGGCTGATTTTGTAGGGGAAGAGCCATGCCTTACCTGTAATCAAATACTAAATGATAAATCTGGTCTTGTGTCAGAATTGAAGTGTGCCCTTCAGTTTTATATCAATGTTGCCTCACCTGGGAGAATTTTCAGAACTACCTGCGTTTGACACGATGGCCTGTATCTTACCACGTCACTTAGCAAAGTTTTTAAGCTTCCCTTTGGTTTTGGGAGCCTTCTTCAGAAGGCAATGGCTCTTTTGCCAAAGGAAGAGCCACTTTAATTTGAGGGATGCTGAAAACAGTTGCTGAGCAGAGGGACAGGATATCGGCCACTACTTTTAACAGGAATTTACGGTGCTCTTGCTTGATGGCCTTTTTTGTTGGTGTTCTTTTAGAAACTGTTTAAGAGAGTGGTACCGCATCACTGTTTGGGCTGCATCTGGTCTCGGAGAGATAAGAAAGAAAACAAGCACTTGGCCCCCACCATCAGAGCCACCATCGCGCAGTTCAATGCTGTGACCAAATGTGTTGTTAATACCATCCTGAATGGCAAGGAACTGAAAACGCAGCAGCGAGCCAAGATCATAGAGAAGTGGATCAATATTGCACATGTAAGCAGCCATTTTTAGGGATGGGCATGGAGTTCGTGGTGACCCGTGGACTCAGGAACCAAACCGGTCTGGCAAGTTTGGTTCCCCCTTTCTCCTAGCCATGGCTCTCTGCAGCTGGGAGAAAGGGGGCAGGATTCTCCCTGGAAGGGGCTCCCAGCTGCAGCTCGCCGTGGTTGGGACAAAGGGGGCGGGGATCACCCTGCAAGGGACTCTCTTTTCCATCTTTCTCCTGGCTGTGGCTCATCATGACCGGGAGAAAGGGGGCAGGGATTGCCCAGGAAGGGGCTTCATTTAACCCTTCAGTCTTGCTCCCCACTGCTTCAAGGGGGAGGAACCAGAGGGTTAAATATGGGGGTGAAGTGTCTCCCACTTTCCCCTCCTTTCTGCTGGCCCAGCTGTCTCTGTCTGTCTCGCACAGCTCGTTTAAAGGTGCTGCAGAAGGGAGCCTGAGACAGCCGAGCAGGTGGAGTGAGACCAAAGCCCCGAACAGCCGAACACAACCAGCGAAAGCCCAGTAAATGTTCGGGGAATGTGTTTTCCCCGAACACCGGTTCCTGAGTCCCGAACCGGCCCAAGTTCGGTCCAGATTTTGGCTTGTGAGCCCGTTCTTGCTCATCCCTAGCCATTTTGTTCCATTTGATTCCTTGAATTTCCAAAAAAAGGGGTAATTACAAAATGGTGGTAGAAAGTGCTGCTAAGCAGCAGCCAACTTATGGCGACCCCAATTGGGGTTTCAAGGCAAGAGACAAACAGAGGTGGTTTCCCATTGCCTGCGTCTGCATAGCAATCCTGAACTTCCTCAGTGGCCTTCCATCCGAGGACTAACCAGGGTTGACCATACTTAGCTCCTAATATCTGATGAGATTGGGCTAGCCTTGGCCGTCCAGGTCAGAGTCATGATGAAACACACGGGCAGTGGTTGCGGCTTAATTATTTTTGGCAGCCATTCTTTCACTAATTCTGGATTTTACTCCTGGGGTTTAGGGTAGCTTCTTGTTATTAACTACATTTCTGGCCCACATAGGACACTGTGAGCCAAAAGAGGCTGGAAAAAGTTGACTGACTGGCTTAAGGATGCTCAGTGAGCTTTCTGGATGAGCACAGATTTGACTTCAGGTCTTCCCGGTCCGCATTCAGTGTTTAACCACCGGGAAATTCTCCAACGCAAGCCCAATGCGATGAGTGGGTTCTAGGACCATTAAGCACTGTCTGTCACTGCTGTAGCTATTCCTTTTCCGTCACAGCTGATAAGAAGCCTCCACGTACCCGAGACATGAGATTGGATCCTGCAGAAAAATTCTGCTTACAGAAGGAGTGTTGCTTTTCAGTGCTTTCCCTCTCCTACTGTAGACCTCCAGCTCCCCCTCATGTTCCGGGGGGGATGCTGTCCCCTTGTAGCAGCATTTGAGGGGGCATTTGGGGCTGCAGAGGGAGGTACTCAGTAGATACATGCATTGAGGTTGTCCCAAGCGCCCTGGAAGGAGGAGCTACAAACTGTATTCATGTGCAAACAAGCCTGGCTCAGCCCAAGGCATTTCAGTGCCTGAAGTGGGAAATCCAAATGGCACCTTCCCTTTAAATACGGGAAGGGCCACGGCTGAGTGGCAGAGCATCTCCTTGGTTCAATCCCTGCATCTCCAGTAAAAAGGACCAGGCAGTAGGTGATGTGAAAAATCTCTACCTGAGACCCTGGAGAACCACTGCCAATCTGGGGAGACAATACTGACCTTGGTGGACCTACAGTCTGATTCAGTATAAGGCAGCTCAATGTGTTCATGGGGAAGTCCCACTCTACTGATAGAAATCCCTCCCATCATACTGTCAGGTTTCTGTTATTTTCTGTAAACAAAACCTAGTAACCAGTAAATGTCAGTGGTCTAAAGCTCTGCTTAAACTCCCATATTCTTCTTCTGAGCCAAATGCCTTCATGCTAGTATGGTCAGCATCAACAGATGTTGGCTGTTTATATTAGTTAACCAGTTTTTCTCTCTCTGTTGCTGACACTTCTCCTCCTTTCCACGTCCAGAACCTTCCAGACATGAAGGGCTCCGAGGAACTTGGAAGCTTTCAGAGCTCCTTCCCGCGCAGTTAGTGGGGGTGGAGTTTAGATGGAGCCGCAGTGACATGTGTTTAAGTACACAAGCTTTAATTGCCTTCAGTTTGGCTGCAGAGGCCCACCTCCTCTGGTATTTAAACTGGAAGTAAAGAATTGACTCAGCACCATCAGTGCAAGAAAACAAAGTCAAAAGTGAAGAAAACAGGTATAAAGTGCCAAAACCTATATAACATGTTTTCAGAGACAGGGAAGGGTAAGACGGGATTTTTCCCCTTCAAAAAGCTCAGTATTTGCTCAGGTGGTTTTTAGCAGTAAGAATTTTTAGCAGCTCAGATACCCATAAAACAGTGGTTGGCTTGTTGAATATTTTGAATATTTGTATTTGACCCGTCTTGTGTCTCTTAATAATTCCTTTTTCAGGAATGTAGGATCCTGAAGAATTTTTCCTCTTTGAGGGCCATCGTTTCAGCTCTGCAGTCGAACTCCATATATCGGTTAAAGAAGACATGGGCATCTGTCGCAAAGTAAGACTTTCCCCCACTGCTCCTTTAAAAGGAGGTTTGCATTTATTCTGCAGATTCTCTGAGGGTTGTGCTCTGAGCCTAGGATGATAAAAATCCTTGGGCAGGAATGGTCAGACCCAGTTTCTGTACAATGTTCTTCTTCATTTGTTTATTTCAAAAATTATCTGCTCTCTCTCTGTGTAAGTGAAGCATTCAAGGTGTCTTACAAGGAGGGTTGCCAATTCCGGGTTGGGAAATTTTGGGGTGGAGCCAGTGTAGGGTGAGGAGGGCTTGGGGAGGGAAGGGATCTCACCCTCCCAAACAGCCTTTTTCTCTAGGAGAACTGACCTCTGCAGTCTGGAAATCAGTTGTATTTCAGGAGAACTCCAGGCCCCACGTGGAGGTTGGCAACCATATTTACAATATGTTAAAACACATATAAGAAATATAAAGTCATCTTTAAAAGGTAAATGTAAAGGTTCCCTTGCTCGAAAGCCAGTCGAATCCGACTCTAGGGTTGCGGAGCTCATCTCCGTTCCAAAGCTGTCCGAAGACGTTTCCGTGGTCATGTGGCCGGCATGACTAGACGTCGAGGCGCACGGAACGCTGTTACCTTCCCACCAAAGTGGTACCTATTTATCTACTTGCAATTTCTTGCTTTTGAACTGCTAGGTTGGCAGGAGCTGGAACTAGAGACGGGAGCTCACTCCGTCATGTGGCAACTCGGGTCTTGAACTGCTGAACTACCGACCTTCCACAGCCTGCAGTTCAGTGTCTTAACCACTTGAGCCGTATTAATTAGTGATAAATTATATGAAAACACTAAAGCTACAATATGTAAGAACCACAGTGATAAGGAAAGGAGGGAAGCCATAGACACGTGTTTTAAACATCAAGGGTTTGAATAGACAGGCCAGAATGTGTCTGATGCCTGTTGATGAAATAGGAGAAGGAAGGCAAAACGCACTGCGTAGCTAGCAAGAACAGAACGCATTGCTCAGGGTGCCAAGGAAGCCCGGCCTGGCAGCTTTGGTAAAGGTCAGAGCAAGTATTACCGTGGCCAGCTTTGGTACCTGGAAATGCCTGTAGCTGGTCTCTTTGTAGTTTCTGGGAGGTGCCACACAAACTGGCCCGTACCCAGACTTCAGTGCATGGAACACGGAGTTTCCTTCATTCCCTCTGTTCCTCTAACTCCTTCCAGGCTCCAGCAACCCCACGGTGTTGGGTGCTGGAGGGACAAGGGATTACATTGCTCCTCCCCCTCTTCTGCAAGCACAGCTCCACATATTGGGGGGGGGCTTGATTTCATCCCCTTATCTCTCTCCTTACTCCAGCCCCCTGCCCTCCCCCCGCATTCACAGGTCCCGCGATCCCAGGAAATGATCTTTCCATGGGTCAGAAGGGGCTGCAGAAAGAGAGAGAAACATGAAGGGAAACTCCATGTGCCTTCCATGCACAGATGGCTGGACGCAGGCCACTGAATACACATCCCTGGACCACCCGTTCAGCACCAGCAATTGCCTTGAATCCTCCAGCCAAACAAATTAGCTGGCGGTTTGTTTTAATATGTGAGAGAATCTCGAATTCACTCCGCTTTTCCGCTGCGCAGGGACAGGATGTTGATGTTTGAAGAACTGTCAGAAATTTTCTCGGACCACGACAACTATTTGACAAGCCGAGAGCTGCTCATGAAGGTGAGAAACAGCAGATATATCGATAGATCCAGATGGGTAGCCGTGTTGGTCTGAAGCAGTAGAACAAAGTTTGAGGAAGTGTGCTTGCACACAAAAGCTCATACCTTGAATAAAACTTTGTTGGTTTTAAAGGTGCCCCACTGGACTCAAACTTAACATAAGAGAAGCCAATGTTGGATCAGGCCAATGGCCCATCCAGTCCAACACTCTGTCACACAGTGGCCAAAAATACCAGGTGCCATCAGGAGGTCCAGCAGTGGGGCCAGGACACTAGAAGCCCCTCCCACTGCTGCCTCCCCCCACCCCAAGCACCAAGAAGACAGAGCATCACTTGCCCCGGAGTCTCTATTTATACCTTGTGGCTAATAGCCACTGATGGACCTCTGCTCCATATGCTTATCTCCATATGCTTCATTCTTCAGGTGTATCAGTGTTGCACTGGTTCTTACTGTTTAAACCTTGTGAGAACAGTGCATTCAGCTTTGTCTCTAAACACTCTCCAGCAAGTTGGTGTCTATCACTTGAAAGTAAGTGGAAGAAGGTACCATCAAGTTGCAGCCAAGGCTCCCTCTAAGCTGTGGAGTCTTGTGAGCAAAAATTCTACTTTGTGAGCCACCGGCATTAAAGTTGTGAGCGAGCGATTTGGCTACTGCATAAATTAGTTTGCTCTGGAGCCCTCCCTTCCTGAGCTAAGACAAAAAGGTGTGAGCCAGAGGCTAAAAAAACTGTGAGCTAGCTCACACTAACTCAGCTTAGAGGGGACACTGGTTGCAACTGACTCAAGGCGAGAGATGAGCAGAGGTGTTTTGTTTTTTTTAAGTGCAGTTGGCCAAATAAATCAGTCTTATTTCGTAGCAGAAATGTCAGAATGGGCACCTGTTTAGAATAAACTAGTCCTATGAAGGAACAGGGTCTTGTTTCAGCAGCTAGCATTGCTCAGTGGCCAGCTTGAGAATGAAGAGTGGTGGTTGATGGGCTGAGGCCTCAAGACAGTACCTTGCAGTGTGGCCTGCTGGTAGATCTTGTTTGCTGCAACTTTCTCTTTCAAGATAGTACCTGAGGTGCCTTCTCTGGGGATCATATTTGGTCCAGGGACTCAGTTGAAAAGAAATACCAGCTTTTAAAATATATGAATAAAGATCTCAGCGGTCGTGGTACAGGTTCAAGTCCTTGAGGGCTAAAAATGCTGAGAGAGACGGAGATGGTCACAGACCAGACCTTCAAGGATATTGTAGAGAGGTTCCACTTTTGTGGGATGGCAAATGCCTCAGCTGTTGGGGAAGGAGGGCGACATAGTTCTGGGAAGGGAGATCCACCTATATTCTGCCACAGTTGGGAGATACTTGTGGGGATGAGAGGGTGTTGTTTTCTCCTAGTGGGAGGTTCATTGGTTAGGAACCTAAAGAGATGGGTCGGAGACATATTCGCCCTGTCTGAAGTTTGTGGAGATCGCATGCTGAAAATAATACAGTGTATGGTAGAGGATGAGTCAGTGTTAAAGTACATGGCAGCTCCAGCACTGTTGGGAGATGTAGTCATATCGTGAGGGAGAGTCAAGAAGGTCAGGTCTCTTCAGGAAGCTTAAAAAGGTAAAGGTTCCCTTGCTCGAAAGCCAGTCGAATCCGACTCTAGGGTTGCAGTGCTCATCTCCATTCCAAAGCCGAAGAGCCAGCGCTGTCCAAAGACGTTTCCGTGGTCATGTGGCCGGCATGACTAAACACCAAGGCGCACGGAACGCTGTTACCTTCCCACCGAAGTGATACCTATTTATCTACTTGCAATTTCTTGCTTTCGAACTGCTAGGTAGGCAGGAAGCTTGGATGTTATTTAAACCCGCTGTAATATTTGAGCAGATTGAAATGTACACTACAGATTAGAAAGAGCGTAAAAAATTTCAATGGAATGCCTGTGTGTACTAGCAATATCAGTGAATCCATAGAAGACAAGGAAGCTTTTATTAAATGACAGAAAGGAGCAAGTTGCTACAGGAATAAACAATCATTTTCTTTAAAAATTCTACCAAGAGCTGAAAACCAGCTGGGGAGGCCATCAAATCTTTAGACAGCAAAGGTGTGAAAGGAATAAAGGAGAACGTGGTGATTGCATTCAAGCTAAATGAATGCTTTCAACCAGTTTTCTCTGTGGGGGGGAAAAATGGAAGTGAGACCCACATCCAAACCATTTTTTTTTTTGGGGTGGTGGTGGTGGTGCTTGAGAAGCTATATCAAATTGCTGGCCCCTGCAATTATGTCTAAAAGCAGCCCAGTGAATAATGGCAACAGGCTAATTACTCTGTGATCAGAAGACCCAAAAAGTGTTGTGAAATATGGCTCCCATTCATAAAGTTGTTGGGAAAAGCAGTCTCCGAGGCCTGGGCTGCTGGAATGTTGAAACCAGCATTCTCATTTCCTGACTTGTCTCCTTGTTAGTCAGCAAACCAAAGAGATTAGTCATAATACCCCCCCCCCCATTCAAGCGAATTAGAAAAACACCAGATGATTACATAATGGACGGGGGAACTGCTTATTAACATGCATTTTGAAAGTTAAGGACAAATAGTCCCTTAAATTGTCCAAAAAAACCAAGCAAGTTTTATTCCAGATACGTTTTGATTCAGGGAAGTCCAGAGGTCAGCTGTACTCTTCTGTACTCTTCAATTGGACCAGAAGTATTTTGTAAGCACTCTTGGCTTGTGGCATTTTGGCACAGTCGTTCTCCACAATGCCAGCATACACAAAAGCTCAAGCAATTCGCCTCCATAAGCAGGAACATGAACCACATGTTTTCTGGACCGGAGAGGGCGGCGTATAGTTTGCAGTTTGTAGAGAAAATATTGACAGGATGTTTGGTGTGGTATCTTCCATTATTTGCCGCTTTCTTCCACCCACAGGAAGGAACTTCTAAATTTGCAAATCTGGACAGCAGTGTGAAAGAGAACCAGAAGAGAACTCAGAGGCGGCTTCAATTGCAAAAAGATATGGTGAGTTCTTAACTTCATCCCTGAGGTAATTAGGCTATTAAGAAATTACAGTCCCTGTCAGAAGCTGCTGTTCTCTCCAAGCAGTATGAAAACATAACAGATATCTACCTTATGTTACCTCACGGTTTTAAGAATAAAAGTTGGTTTTTATACCCCGCTTTTCACTACCCAAAGGAGTCTCAGAGCGGCTTCCCTTCCCTTCCTCTCCCCACAACAGACACCCTGTGAGGCAGGTGGGGCTGAGAGAGCTCTGAGAGAACTGTGACTGACTCAAGGTCACTCAGCTGGCTTCTTTTGGAGGAGTGGGGAATCAAACCCGGTTCTCCAGATTAGAGTCCACCACTCTTTAACCACTACACCAAACTGGAGCACACCTTGGCCCAATGCAGACAACACTTTTGGATCCTGTTCTACAAGGAAAGCCTCCTTCTGCTCAAGGAAAATGCTTCTGTTAGTGGAATGGATCCTTGGGAGCTAGCCTATAATGTGATTAGCATTAGCCATGGTTAGTTGTCCTAGGCCTGGATCCAAAACTTGCTGGAGAGGCAGGGAAACTGCCCTAGCCATGGTTTGCTATATGCAGTGGTAATTCTTAAAAGTAGTTAGTAACGGCCCCTGCCACACGGCCTCTTTAAGGCGCGGCTTCGAAAAGCCACGCCAACGTTGACACGGCGCGGCGGGATCCCCCGGATCCCCCGGCCGCGGCCCGGGGTTGTGCTGGCGCAAGGACGCGCCGGCGATCAAACGTCCGGTTTGCCGCGGCGCGTCCATTTGAACCACCAAAGTAGGTGGTTCAGTTTGCGCCGGCTCATCCCGGGAAAGGGACAGTTTGGGTACGGAAGCCGGACGCTTCCCAGATGTTGTGGTGTGATCGCGCCAGTTTGATCCGGCCCCAAACTGTCCCACTCCCGGACCAAATCAGTGAGTGTGAACGGGACCACAAACCTCCTTCAAGCCACGGTTTCACCTTCTTAATTATGGTTTGCTGTATGCAGTGGTAATTCTTAACTGTAGTCAGTAAAACCTCCTTCAAACTACAGTTTCCACCTTCTTAACTATGGCTAGATATCTAGATATAATGCTTGACTATGATTAAGGAACACAAACCATGGTTAGACATTATATCTATATATGGCCCTAGAGATACAGTGTCCAAAGTGCTGCAGAATGCTAAGATTTCACATCTGCTGTCTACCCCTCCAGTTGCTGCTGTCTTCTGTTCATATAGAGGTTAGTGATACTGGAAGGTCAGCCAGATGCCCGTTCTTCCTGCCTCTCCTGTATTCAGCAGACTCACACTGGCTGATTCTGCATTGGCTTTTCCCTCCGTTGTTTTACGAAACCCACATAGGAACAGAAATTCCCCTCTGCATTGCACGCTGCTTTCACATCCTTTGATTATCGGATTTTATGGTAGTGTCCACACTCCATGCCACTTTCAAGTTCTTCGATCATTGGATTTTATTGTACCTTCTGCATAGATTTATGGCCGTTTTATGGCTGTTCAGGGGTGACTTTGCCATCAGTATGGTGTTGGTCCCGGGGTATTTGAATGTGGTTTTGAGCTGCACTTTTCCCTCCCAGTTGAGAAGATGTGGAACGAATGCTAGATGCAGAATCACCCACTGTCTGGAAAAGGAGCAGGGAAATTTCTGCGCAAGAGAAATCAGCAGAGCTGATTATACTAGGAAGTTGTCCCAGAAGAAAATAGAATGTCAATAAGGATGAAAGCAGTATTAGGAGACCAAGATAATAGGGCTATATAAGACAAATTGTGCAAAGAAAGGCTCCTGGGAGAAGTCTTCCCTTGCTTTTTTTCTAGTGTGCTTGTTCATCTGTGACTAAAGACAGACAGTAGGTTTTTTTAGAAGAGTTGAATCAGTTGTTTCCTGTGATGTTCGCTTTTATGTCTATTTCCCACTATGGTCTGTGATCAAACACGTTTTTCAAGTTTTAAAAGCACTATAAAAGCCTGCAAAACCTGTGAAGTGCTCAGCTAACTACACCTTGGGCATAAATGTGTGTATTAGAGTCCTGACAGTTGTTGAGGTGTCTCTCCTCCACCTCAGAAAAGCAGCTTTGGAGAAACTGAGAACAGCCAAACAGTGGGGAATCTCAAAAAGCAGTTTTCCTGCTAACTTCTATACCCCACCCCAGTGGTATTTCAAACTCCTAGTATGCTGGGAAAAGCACGGGGTGTGTGTGTGTGACTTAATGTGCAAAAATTAATAGGGAAGGAGTTAAACACCTCTTTCTTTCTCTCTCTCTTTCTCTCTTTCTCACCTGGTCCACTTCCTGAACCATGTGAGAGCCAGCATGGTGTAGTGGTTAAGAGCAGTGGACTATAATCCAGAGAATCCAATTTGACACACACACCCTTCCCATGAAGGCTGCTGGGTGACCTTGGGCCAGTCATAATTCCTTCAGAGCTCTCTCAGCCCCACCTACCTCACCAAGTGTCTGTTGTGGGGAGAGGAAGGGAAGGTGGTTGTAAGCCACTTTGAGACTCCTCAGGGTAGAGAAAAGCAGGGTATAAAAATCTCTTCTAAAACTACTTTTCAGAATGAAACAAAGGAGGAGAGGGGGCATCGGAGGTATCTGATGATATGGCTGTCATCTTTTCATCTTCAAATCACGGGGGGGGGGGGAACCCTGCTGTGTGTCTAGTCCATTTGATGGGAAACACTTGCCTCCGAATCTATTGGCTCCTGTGGAGACCATTTCTACCTGACGCAGGTGGGAGCAGGAGTCATCCTGAGGTACAGAGGGCTCTGTGTGTTGTGCGGTTTTGGAGTGTGGCAGCAAGCTATGCTGCTCTTGCAGCCGTGTCCCATGTCCCACAGCTTGAGAAATGAGGTAGCACATGGTTGGTCCAGGAGAAGGACTTGGGTAGGTTTGTCTGGAGAACACATTGTCTCTTTTATGTCCAGTTTGCCCCAGCTTTGTATGAGGAAGAAGGTTCTTAGGAAGGGACTTCGCTCTCAGGATCTGAAACTAGGCAAATAAACTGAACTAGGTGTGCTGTGTAGTACTGGGTGTTTGTATATGTTCCTCATATTTTATTATGCTATGGTTGCACTGAGAGCCTTTGGACTGAGGGTGGGAAGTACGTTTTCAGTCAATCGATCAATATACTGTAAAAGACTCGAGAGATTTGGACAGTGTGCACCCTAGAGCAGGGGTCTTCAACCATTCCAGATTGAACTGCAAGCCCATGATAAGAAGTCATAAGAAACATGTGACATGACAAGGGGGACACAGATTTATGACCTCGCCGGTGTGAGGGCCATAGCAGCAGACCAAAAGAGCCAGAAATAGGAAATGCATTCAAAGCACCAGGAGGTTACCGCGGTGCAGAACAAGCCAAGGGTCAGAGGCATGGATGATTCCTCTCCCCCACTGAGTGACTTTCACCTCATTGTCCTGCTGCTGCTGCTGCTGTTATGTGTGTTCTCTATGCAGCAGGGGGATAAAAACAACTTTGAAGGGGCTCACTAATTCTCCCTCTAAGCTGTGGAGTCTTGTGAGCAAAAATGCGACTTTGTGAGCTACTAGCATTAAAGTTGTGAGCCAGCGATTTGGCTACTACATAAATTAGTTTGCTCTGGAGCCCTCCTTCCTGAGCTAAGACAAAAATGTGTGAGCTGGAGGCTAAAAGAACTGTGAGCTAGCTCACACTAACTCAGTTTAGAGGGAACATGTGACCCAGCAGGAGGGTCTCTGTGGCCTACCTGAGAGCGCTGACTCAGGTGTTGAAGACCATTGTTTTAGAATATGCCCTGTAACCCTCAGCTCCATGGTGGAAATTGATGTGATCCTCAGCAGGCCAATTAGAAGATTTCCTTCATATTTGACTCCCACCTCTACAGTGTGTCCCTCAGAGAGGGCCTTGCAATTCTCCCCTCTTTAGTTCCCGTTTTTTCCTCTCAAACATAAAACCCCCCTCAAGATTTGTTTCCTGTTTCCTTGGTGCTTTAAGAACATTGGTGGTTAGTTTCCACTTAGTATACTACTTTCCTTTCTGCTACAGTTTCCCATTTTTAAATAAATGCTGATTCCTTGCAGCGTTTTTATGTAATCAGAACACAAGGGCTGGGGGAGATTCATTGGTGCTGATAATTATCCTGCACTCACGAGAGAAATCCCCTGCCCCCCTTTTCTTAAAGAAGTTAGTGGCCAAATTCCTACAGACTGGCAAAGGCATAACAGGGGCCATCTCTTGCAAGAAATCTGAATGTCCTTGTCAGTTTTATTCTTTATTTACAAATTTTGCATAGCACTTTTCTGAAGCTCATTATACAGTGGCAAAGCTAAGCAGTCAAGTGTTTCAGTATTGTATTTATTTTAAAAGTTCTCTCTCTGATATAATCTAGGATAATATTTCTGATGGTGTGTAGTCCATTATAGTGAGTAATGTTGGTATACACCACTTCTATGTCCATTGGAGTGAGGACGGTATTCTCTAGGAGGTTGTCCATAGATCGTAGCTCCTTCACTAAGTCAGTTGTTGTTGTTCAGTCGAACAGTTAACTGAACAACAGTAGTGCCCCACAAATAACCTGGGGCATTAGAAGTATTGGGCCTGAGGTTGGTGTCCATAAAACAAGACACCCCTCAGTTTGCCAGAAACTATGGGGTAAACAGGGTTGCATAGTTTATCAGGTTTGAGAAGTACATGAAATATTCCTAGCCAGGGGTCATTTCGTAGAAAAAGAGGTGCAGGAGCTCATTAGCATAACTCATTTGCATTGCCACACCCCCTGACATCATCGCAAGGGTGTCAGAAGGCAACACCCACCGCTCAGGCTCCACTGGACTGTTTTGGATTGCTAGCTATGGGGGGGGGAAGGTGCAGATCTGTCCTCGCAGAGAAGGGAGAGCTTAGTTTACTTAGAGAGTAAAGACACAAGGGCTGCGTGGGGGGCGGGGGCACAATGAGCTTGCGCCAGTTATCTAGACAAACGTCCTTAATGCTGTTCCAAGTTGGGCTCCCATCTTTGACTCCAGTGTAAAGCACAGACTCCACTTTTCAGGCCCTCTGGGCTCTTTACTGCTGGATCTCCGCTCCCGTGCGCTCCTGCAGGAAATGACCCTTGTTCCTAGCCAAGGTTCTTGAGCTGTCTCCATGTTGGTTTGTTCCTGTATACGTGTGAGAGCTAGGTTCAAGTCCAGGAGCATCTTAGAGAGCAACAAGATTTTGAGGGTCGAAGCTTTCGAGAGTCGAAGCTCCCTTCGTCAGATAGTGGAAGAAATGAGATTTGACTCTGGAAAGCTCCGACCCTGAAAATCTTGTTGGATCTTTAAGGTGCTCCTGGGCTCAGATCTAGCTGTTCCGCTGCCCTCTCTGCTTATGTCCCCAGTAGAAGCTTATCATGATAAGAATACGAGAAATAAAACTGATTTCTTAACCTATGGTAATATGCTACACACTCAGGGGAAATGTAAATCTTGGCAAGATATTGGAGATGAATTAATATTCAGTGGTTACTATATTATCAATCAGTGTGTCAAGATTAAAGAAAATAATTAACACAGAAGGTGGATCTCCAGGAGAGTAGACTGAGTTCAAACAGTTGATTACAAAACAAAAAGATCATTAACTACGATGGATATATAAGTTACAAGAGGGGGACCCGCGATACTCACGGGGGGGAGAAGAGCTCCGTCTCCTCCATCCCCACCCTCGATCTCCCCGAGGTGGCGGGGGCGGCGGCAGCGGCGGTGTCCCCCCCGCCCGCCTTCCTTTCGGCCTGGCTTTCCCCCC